CACCGTAATTATGTTTTCAGTTAAACTTTTGAATAACGAAATTGAATAAGACAAATTCAGTTTCTTGTACCTAGATCACAATCCAGGCATAGGACAAATTTATTAAAAAAGTCTACGATATTTGTAATATGTGAGTTGTTCAATAAGGTGTCCAACCTGTGCGATATACATCATGACAGCAATATTCTGTCAATCTGAATATTTTTTTTGTTTATATAAAGTCTCTAATAATTTATATTTTCTCTATTTGTGGGTGTAATAACTGAACTGAACTGTAATAACTGGTTTTGTTCTTGTTGAAATAAATTGATTGATTGAAAAAAAAAACCTACTGAGAATAAATATATTATTATTATTACTGAGTAATCTCCGATAACTGGATATTACGGCTGCGTAAGACGTATTTATGGCCCATAATTCTTCACTAGTTATGACCCTTTTGAGCAAATCTGGATCGCCGTTGACGTCATTCAACAATTCCTAAACGATTCTCGTTCGACAGTTTTTTTATCAAAATTCAACATTTTGAAACAACATTATGAATTTAACTCATAATCTCTAGTTTTTCATCTTTCTGATGTAATTTTTGGAAAGAAACTGAAGAGACGTGTGAAATCATGATGTCCCAGATTTGATTTATTTAGGTATTTATTTTCAATTCATAATGAAAGACGTCTTTAGAAGATTCCTATTCGATATTTTTGATTTTTCAACATCTTAATGTGATGTTAGAAATGCAGTTCATGTTTTTCATTTATTAGTTTGATCAGGATGGTAAAATCATTAGAAAGTATCTACAAATATTCCTAAGATCACAAATAATGTTACATTTGAATTGATACAGCTGTAAATTGTAAACGGTAAATGCCAAATGATCAATTTATCTTGGTAGTAACACATTTGAAGACTTGAATGCATATTTTCACGCAATTAAACAGCACTACTGCATTGGCCTTTTTGATGAATTATGCAGTTCACTCTTATCCCAGTCGATCTGTTATCATAAAGCAATCTCAGCCAGACTTGATTTAGTAATAACACTGTGGCTGTTGAATGTTTAATCGTGTCCCCAGGATGTAATTCAAATAATTTGTCACCCGTGAAGAATTGTCTCTAATTTATTTAAACAATTACTTGCCGTTCTGGCACTGCAAACCTGTTTACGAATGGCCGCTACCTAAGAATGAGCAATAAGTAATGAATACCACCATGAAATCGTCATTACGAAGTCAATTCAAAGTTGTTTCCTTTCTTGAGGTAATCATTCGCCTTGCTTTGAAATAATGGGAATTTTCACTCCTTGACACCAAACGTGTGCGTTGAAATTAATTTCTTATTCGTTCGTTTTACTAAACTAACGTATTTTGTCTCAGACGCAATTTCTTGGTTATATTTTTGCATTATCTTATATATTTATACATCCTAAAAAAATATTCACACTGGAGTTATTTCTGTCAAGTGTGCTATTTCATGATTGAAACTCGCTATAGTATGTTTCATATTGACAAAGATATTGTTTATCTCGCAAAATCAGAATAATAAATCATTATTTTTCGGGTTTGAAGGCCATGGATTTTTGGAATTTCTTCCTGGCGTTTAGCTGATCCGAGTAGCTAGCTTCATCAGCTTTCTGAGTTAATATCACCGATGACTGGATATTACGGTTGCGTTAGACTCTTTGGGTAGTTTGGTGTGCTATTACCTGTGGCTGGATTTGGTGAATTGTCAATAACGTTCGTCAACCCGTTTCTACCTGCCGTCATGCTATTCTTGAACTTCTTGAGGTTCACAGATTCTTCTTTTCTGTTGAAGTCATCCGTGTGTTTGTGGATTTCTATTACCTCCCGTACCATTTGGCTATGGTATTCCTGGTGGGGGGCTATGAGTTCCGTGTTTTTCAACAGGAACCTGTGGTTTCCTCCACAGAGTGCGTGCTCTGCCGCAGCTGACTTGTCCGTTTGGCCTCATCTGCAGTTTCTTTAATGTCCCTTCATCCTTGTTCCCATGGATCCTTTGGTGGTTCCGATATTTACCTTCCCACAAGTGCATGCTATGCGATAAACCCCTGATAATGGATTCCTTTTGTCTTTAGCCGACCTGAGACTTTGTTGAATTTTCTTGGTGGGTTTGAAAACCGTTTTGATTTTGTGGTTCCCCAAAAGTTTTCCAATTATGTCTGTGACCGTAGGGATAAAAGGTAGATACGCCCGTTCAACTATATGAGCCTTCTCCCCATTTTTGAGCCGTAGAACTCTTCAGTTTCATTGCTTCGTTGACCTCGGGAACACTGTACCCACGATCTCCAGGTGACTTGAAGATGTTCTAGTTCTTCCTCTAGATGCTCTGGTCCACAAATTCTTCATGCACCTTCTCTTTTGACTATGATGGTGGTACGATAGTGAGTGCAGGTAGCTATCTGTGTGCGTTGGTTTTCGGTACACTTTGTGGGTTAATCTAGCAATACATCGTTTGATTAGTACATCTAGGAATGCTATCCGCTGCTTCTGTTCAGTCTCCGTGGTAAACTTAACGCTTAGTTGTTGAGCGTTCAAGTAATCTAGGAAAAGGTTCAGGACGTCACTTCCATGTTTAAAGATGAAGGAGGTGTCATCTACGTAACGTAGCCATAAGGTCGGTTTTAATTCAAAGGTCTTAATTGCTTTCTATTCGGAACGTTCCATGAAGTAATTGGCTAAGTGAGCTAAGTGGACCCATCACCACACCATCTAGTTGCTCATAGAAGTTTTCCCTCCATTGAAAGTAACTCCCCGTGGGACGTACTTTGAAAGTCCGACGATATCATTTGAAAACAAGTAGACTAGCCCCCTTAGAGAGTATTCCAGTGGGACATTGGTAAACAAGGACAAAACATCCAAGCTGACCAGAATATCTGTCGGCTCCAGAGTTGAGTCCCTAGTTTTACCAACGAAGTCTGTCGAATCCTTGACGTAGGATTTTGTCGTTCCTATATGAGGCTGTGTGAGCGAGGTTAGATGCTTCGCCAGGTGGTAGGTCGGTGACCTACCGACCTACAGAAAAGAAGCTGTGAACCTCAATCGAATATGGAATCCTATTTCAAGCCGTAATATCCAGTCATCGGCCACGAAAGTCTTAACCATTTTATCAATAATGAATCATATCGATAAAATATCCAAACCTGATACTTTCAACTTGAGACCAATTAATATTTTACCGTCACTCTCTAAAGAGTCTAAAGTAATCAAAAAATCAGTTTATGGACAAACGTGTACCTTTGTCAATAATAATAACCGTACTATCCCCATCACGAAGTCTGGCTTCAGACAAAATTATGGTACTACAAGTGTTTTTCTGATACACCGATGGAATTACACATTCATGTGATGAGACTGAACTAACACTTTTAGTGCCATGTGAATATAGAAAAGAATTTGATACTATAAACCACGCTTCACTATGTGCAAAACTTTGTTAATACGGATTCGATGGAAAAAGTCAACCTTTTTTTTATTCTTGTCTCAGTAATCGAACACAACTTGTTCCTATCAGTAAAAACAAATTATCAGAACTAAACGTAATACATGGTGCACCTTAAGGCTCTACAGTTGCACCTGAATTTTCAAATGCATACTGATGACATCAATCTGATTTATTTTTTCCGCAAAAATTGATGAATTTTCATCCACTGAACATTTTTTGAATAATTCGTCAGTCATAATTTTTGGTAATGAGAGGGACCGACATAGATCCATAGATGATTTGTCAATCTTTGTCAATAATCACGAATTGGAATGTAGCAAAAAAATGAAATGCGTAGGGTTTGCAATAGATTGCAATTTGAGATTCATTAGCTATATTAACTCTTCGACTCCGAGATCATACAGTGTACTGAAGCATCTGTACTCTCACAGACATTACCTGACTATGTGATACACTTTTTTATTAATTTTCAACTATACAGTGCCTTGATCTAGAAACTCCTTTCAGGATCCAAGAAGTTCAGAATGCCTATATCCGATTAATATTTTCGTTGAAACGAAGAGATTCTCTAACAACATTTTCAAAGTATCTCGGGTGAATGAAAATGTTAAATAGGAGAAAATATCAGCTTGTATGCTTCATTCATGAATTATTGAGAAACCAATGCCTAGATTAACTCAGTTCCAAAATTATTCCACGTCACCAGTGTCACTCTAGAAACCTTCATAACATCACATGCTTACCCTCTCGCGCCACTCTTCTCTCTTTTCGGCCGTTCTTTCTCTTATAGCGCTGAAACCGAGTACAACTTTTATCCTGAAGAATTGAAATTGATGACTTTTTCTCCGTTTGAAATTAAAATTAAAACCATCTTCTTCGTTAAACAATGAATGTGACTGAATTCAATAAAATTAAATTTAATTTAATTAAATTGAACCTAATTAAATTATCTGATTCATTTTACTTTATCATGTTTTTTTTTAATTGATTCACCTACATGTACTTTTGTTATTTGTACTTTTGTAGTTTAGAAACTACATTAGGTCCTAGTTTTAAGTTATGATTTTGTATCACATGTGTTAAAATAATCTTGGTTGAGTGATAGAAAAGCGTTAGCTAAATTCCGCCAAAATGAAGAAAATACCATTCATTTTCATTATTATTATAATTCATGTAAGTTTCTTCACCTAACTACCTCGCTCTATAAAAAAAAGATAGTTCAGGACTCCAAAACAGGCAATCAGTTGACAATGCGCAAGATTGGTGCATATCCTATAATTCTGCATGAATCCTGATTGTTTAACGTTACTTCCTTCGGAGATGAAGACATCACTATTATTAAGTATTGAATTACCATAAATCGCCAACATTGCCTACAGCCTTTGCGATTTCTCATTGTTGTGTGTATACTAGTTTCAATTTTCTGTCCCTTCAAGGAAATAAGATACATCAGCTCTCGAATTGACACACATGAACTATCATTTCGAACTTGTCCTGAATTTTTAACTGATGACTAGACTTAATACTATTATTTATTTCAGGTGCACTTATATTTTAGTGCCCTACCCGAAGACAAGGTACCTTACGTCAACTCTGTAGGAGAACGCTACAGAGTTAGACAACTTCTCCAACAGCTTCCTCCTCACGACAATGAAGTTCGATACTGTCATGCGCTTTCTGACGAGGAAAGGAAAGAACTTAGGCTGTTTTCCGCCCAACGGAAAAGGGAAGCCTTGGGCAGAGGAGCAGTCAGGCAACTGCCGGCGCCTATGCAGTGTGAAGCAGTGAGTATTTACAATATCAAATAAGTAATAGTTACTAAATATAAATGAAAAATCAGTTGAATTTTAACAATAATGACATTGTGGATGAAATCAGAGTTTCCATCAATTTTTTTGGAGGGGGTTTATTTCCCTTCCACAATCTGAAAAAATATAAAAATTGTAATGGTAGTCCTAAATTATATTGGTTTTGGTTTTAGGACTACCTGGAAAAATAAATCGAATCGGAAATAGATATGATGTTAAAACTTTTCGTTATAAACGCAACGAAGATCAACTGAAAAAACTTCATTTTTTAACGTTGTCACAATACTATTGACGTTTCTACTGTGATTCTATATATGGTATCTGACTAAAGATATGTAATAATTATTTTCAACAAAAACTTCTAACTAACCAACAAATAGGTACACTATTGAATCGATAGATGCAACCAAATAGAATTACTCGTTAAAAAACATGATCATACCAGCTTTGAACAGGAGGTTGTAGGTATCTCAAATATACTGTTTACCAAAAGCCAATAGCTATAACATCACCAGCTACAACAAAAGAGAGGTGTAATTAAAATGTTGGTTGAGAAAGCAACACGTACCTCAATTTAAGAGCCACCGGTAGACAGCTGTTTCAGCCTATTGGGCATCGTCAGTACCGGGCAGGCGGTCCTCGATTGAAGACAAAATGAGAAAAAACCAAGAAAGTACTTGGTGAAAATAGCTGCGTAAACGCAAGCGAAACATAAGTGGAACCACCTATTGGTGTGACACCCAAGTGAACTTTCCAAGTTTTTATGTCAATGTTGGTGGTTCGGTGGTGGTGGTGGTGTCGCAGCCGACAACTGCGGTAGCAGAAATTTGGAAAGCTCACCTGAAATGCCATCGGAAAACGAATCCTCACTCCATAGTATGTTCCAACATACTATGGAGTGAAATTTTGCGTGATAATATGATTGGTTCAAATTCTTAGATGTAAACTCAATGTGTTCTCACCATGTGAAAAGCGAATCAATCATTATTCCTAAAAACTTTGTACAGGATGTCGATCTCAAAGATTTATTGAGAAATTTTAAAGTGAAGTTATGTAGACTCCAAGGAGAATATGCAAATTCAATACATCAACTATTAGTCTATTTTTGAAACACCACTGATTGAATTCTTGCAATACAGTGTTGACTGTTCGAAGATAAAGTAATACTCGATAATACTCAAAATTACTACACTAGATTTTATAGAGAAGCAGTGGAAAATAAAAACAAAATGATAATTTCGAAAGAAAAGAAGGGGCAATGAATATTTACAAAATCTGGCTACCTGCCCTTAATGGCGTTACCACATCTGTCGCAGCAGTAGACGAAACATCAGGCATAAAAACTGCAGACCTCGGCCAAAAAACCCAGAAAATTGCTTTCACACATATGTTTCTATGGTTTGCAAAATTTCGATTTCACTTTGTATAAGAGAAAATTATTAGTAACAAAGAATCTTTCCGAAAAGGTTTGAAGTCAAATAAAAATTTTTCGGGTATTCTTCCTTTCTAGTTATTCCGAACCGCCCAATTACGAACTCATAATGATCGAGTATTAAGGTGACCCGTATATCTCTGTTCTGTCATTTTCCTCACAGTTGTTGGACTACTCAGAATATATTTTATTATATAGGATTCCAATATATTTGCAATTGTTATTCATTCTAAGGAATGTACAATACTTGTGTAGGAATCGCTATTCAAAACGTACTTTTTATTATTCTGTCATTGTAACTGAGTTGAAGTTTTCGTGAAATGAAGAATATAATAAATCATCTTATCAAAAACGACGAAACTAGTAGAATTTCCAAGAAGAATTCCCTAATGGTTGCTCCTCTTCAAAACCCACTTAAAATTAAATCTGCGAGGAAAGAGCATTTCTGGAATTAATGAGCCGAATTAAAGGTCTCAAGAGCCAGAGTCATTAGAACTAGTGCATTAGCTCCAAGTATCTTTATAAAGATTTTGTAAAAAGAGGGCTTCGAATGAAATGGTTGTGCACTTTGAATATTAGTGTCATTAGGTAATCGGCAAATGGATGGCAATCGGAAGTTCTATCAAAGGAATTGTGCATCTGAGAAAATATTTTAACTTTGACTCGTCGGTTTCGAAAATATTTGCTAGAAACGATAAAAGTTCGTAACTGATAATGCAAGCTAACTAATTAGAATCCTTCGCTTTCACCAATTTCCATTTTGAGGTTAAGGTACTTTCAAGAAAAGTGAGTTTCTACGTTTTTAATAACTCTGTTGAAAAGATCCAAAAAATTAAGGATCTCCATTGATATAATTCAATAGAACCGTTGAGATGGAAGAGCATTTATTTAATTTGTCTGGAGCTTTAGAGTAAAGTGGATGAAGCGAGTGAGTAACTTGTCGTATTCCATAATTTTGCCCATGATTAAAGAACTGAAAAATCATACAGATACTCATTTCATAATTTCGATGGCTAAAATCTGCGTCCGTCTTCTCTGATACATGTCAAAAACTCCTTTGACATTTGTCGAGGACGTTTGAAAATGAAGCGAATCACCGAAGAAAAAACAGCGAAGGCTGATTTTAGCCTCCAAAGGATAAGTATCTGTGTAATTTCTTAGATTTTTACGGTTGGCTAAATTATTAAAAACGACATGTTCCTGGAAAATAGAACTTTTTTTTTCGAGAAAATATTTTGAATTCACGCAGTAACTTATTGGGGTGAACTGAAAAGTGTGCTCCTATAAAAATTTCCCTATCACATTTGTAACACTATAAAATTAAAGAATCAATAATAATATTAGAAATAACAATATGCGAGCTTGTCTGGAACTTGTATTACCAAACTGCTACTGCAACAGACATTATCAGTCTCACGACTGACTGTCAGTTATAAAATCAGTTTTACCTTCGATTTTTGCACTATTGATATCCAATAAAAATCTTCATTAATATTTCTGATCAATAGACTTTCAGGGGTTGTTTGCTCTACACGATAAAACACAAGTCCAGTAAAAATTGGGCTAGATTTTCAATACGAAATTATTTCAATTTTGTCAATCGTCTGTTTCGACTAATATTTTTTTTATAAATAGGTATCATAAATTAGCATACTTACTTGAAATTGTAATCACTTCATTCATTTACCTGCTCTTTTCATATTCTTGTACCAAACTTGTGAACATTTTTCAAAATTTTAGTCATCATTAGTTTCAAGGGGGCTTTAGTTTGAATTTCATGTCATAGTTCACGTATACCCATTAGTAGTCACTAAATGCTCCTATACGAAACTTTTATTGCATGTAGTTCACTATTTGGTAAAATACGGGGAGAAAAAATTAAATGTCTCATTTTCTGGTCTATCTCTCGCACAGCTAGCTGATCAATAGTGTTTGAAAATAAATCCATCCAAGTCGAAAGTTTTATTATTTAAAATATCGTCAGCTAGAAAAAGATGCCTATCTGAATTACAAATTCTGATTAGCATCGAGTATATTATATAGGGAATAACACAATAAATCTGGCACTCATTGTCGACAACACCTTTGTAATGGGCAATAATAAAAATATTCTGAATATTCTAAAAACAACGTTATGTTGTTTTTAGAATATCTTGTTTTATTTCACGCACAATATGCTGAAGTGGTTTTTGGTGCATCATTTTCGAAATGTGATAAAACCATATTGCAAAGATTACATAACACCTATTTTTTCGTCTCATATGCGGCTTACATAATAGAGACCATGCTTTGAAATCTCTAGGTTGGAAGAACATGACTGAAAGGAGAGCAGTTCACGCCTACTGCTCATTCATTAAAATCCTAACCAACAAAAGTCTTCCCTATTTATACCACAGAATAAGATTCAGAACGAACGTATATAATCTAAATAAACGATACAAATCGCTAAATTCACCAAGCCACAGAACAACTTTAAGCAAAGGTTCATTTACTTATGTAACATGGCTAATGAATAGGATTCAACCTGGTTATAAAGACTTACTTGTGATTTTATTCAAGAGTGAATTGTTTTTTGAAATTATTACTGCAAATTTTCTCTTTACTTCGAAACAAATGTTACAACTGTCCGCCCTCTGTTGGAGACTTACCTACTGCATCTCAGTATTACTATAGAATTTGAGACCTCAAACTTTATTATGTTGTTTGAGAGGAATTTTACATTCGTGCGCCTTCTGTTGAAGATTTATAATACTAGTGACTAGAACTTAAAAAAATATATTTTTGACTAAAAAGTGAAAAATATAGTTCAAAAAAACTAGCTTTTAAAGAACATCGAACTAAAAAGTTGAAAATATTTATTTTAAATAAGCTTAACAATAACGAACGAAAAATANTAAAATTTCTCATGTAGAAAGAACAACAGCAAATGCAAGTATCCTCTTTTGTTTTGGTATTTCATGACTTCATACAAAATAAACATCTGGAATTTAAAACCCCACAATATTTTTAATTTCTCTCTCTGATGAACCACAATCTAACTTCGTTCTCCAACGGCTTGGAAGTTTCATTAAAGAAAATAATTGCTAAACGAAAGTAAATGAGCGTCAAATAAGGAATCGTAAGAACCATTTCGTCGCTATTACCCTTCAGCATCCACGAAGTTTTTATTATTCTCATACCCTTCGAAGCCACAGACCGCGTAATTAGACAAGTTTAATTAATCGCGTCAATCAAGAGACTCTACGCGACCGAATTGTTCCTTCGGTTCATCCAGGAATGATCGTTACAGCGTCATCTGATGGTGTTTGACCGTTAGTAATGGAGGAAGAGGTATTTGAAATGTATGTAGTGGCAAAGAAGCAGCTATTCAAAGTTTGGTATTTCGGTGGAATAGTAGACGTTTTATCTGCTACATTGAGTTCGATTTGTGACAATTCTGCTTCATTGTACGTAAGAGTTGAAATTCTAGGATCTCATTAGTTGTGAACTTTTGAAGTTATACTTCTTTTGACGCGTTAGATAAAAATTATGAGAGTAAATTTTC